CTCTGAAGTGGTCCAGACTTGGCACATGGATAGCAGTTTTGGGACTGTTCTTACAGCAGTCAGAGTAGGCTATGCCTGTATTAACAAGTAGTAGTTCTGGGCAGAAGAAGGGGATTTGTATAATGAAACAGCTGGTGCTGAGTATCTCACGACAACCCTGAATGCATTTGAAGAGTTTTTACCTCACTCTAGCTCTAGTCTGATTCTGTAGACTAAATGTGCATTAATGGTTAGGACGTGTTATATGGTCCTGTAGCACATCTCCTAGTTAAGTTTAATGCAAAGGAACCCAGTTAGTGTCCTCTAAGAACTCTCCCCAGCACAAGTCAAACGGCAAGAGGTACGAACAGGAGATTTGCTTCAAAAGCACTCTCCTGAACTAGGTTGCTAATACAGGTGCAACTGCAGGTTTGGTGTTGATGGCATATCTTGGCTGCTCGTGGAACGGCCATGTGTGCAGAGGAGAGGTAATCTCTTCCTTCTCTTTGGGCACCTCTGTTACTCATTTGGTGGAAACTGAGCTCTCATGTTTTCTGGGTTGAGCAAACTGAAGGCCTGAATAGATAGTTTCGGCTGTGAAGAAAACATTTATGGCCTCTGCATCCTCTCTCTGTGTCCATTGGGAGATGGCAGCAAGCCAACTAGAAGCTGTTCATGAGCTGGACCGGTCCCAAAGCCAGGTGCTGGACCACGTTACTTTGGAAGGAATGGGAAAAGCAGGAGTTGTGAAGTATTACCAGTCTTTTCCCAGTGCTCTGTACATAGTATCATACATCTTTCAGCTCTCTTTTCACACTCGAAGAGCATGTGTGAAAGAAATCTTCCACATCTTACATTCACACTGGGGGAAAAAAAGGAAAAGATGACTACATCTATGAAAGAAAACAGTCCTACTGGTATGCACACCGTTTTCGTAGGAGTCACAGTTCATAGCAGTCACAGTCACACAGTTTTCATAGGAGTCACCGTCGCGACCTGAAACTTTGCATGGGGCTCATTAATTGTAATCTACTGTGTATGTGTATGTATGACTAAACACTATTATTATCTCCCTTAAATAAGATTCTGTTTTGCATAGGCAATTCCAGACATCTGAACTGCAGAAAGAAACATTAGATGAAACCACTGGAAACCGTGATCACATGGATGTAAACACTTAAGTTCGAAACTGAAAGTAACCATTCAATTTTAACGAATGTGAAAAACAGTACATTCCAGCACACCTGATGGAAAGACTGACTTCTTTCCTTCTGTTTCCTGGAAGAAAGGGAGTAGAAGGGAACACAAACTTCTTTCTAGCTAACCGCATATTTTCGTAATCAGAATCACAGTGTGATTCTGATTGTTTTGATAAAACTCCCAAGTGCTCTTTTTTGCACTGCAGTTGTCCCACATCCTCACACTCGTCTGCACAAAATACAAGTTCCAGTGACACACAGCTAGTATAGCATCTGCTCTCCTTTTCCCACTATCTGCTTTCATTGGAGGTAATCAAGTAAGACATTCTCAGGCTAGAACACTTCTTATTCATTATACCAGCCCTTCAGGAATTTCCAGGAAGTCATTATTAACCCATATTATAAACTATAACTTTTTTTTTTTTTTATTTTACTGTTGTCAAAGATAACAATGACTGCAAAATATCTTGGGCAAAAAATAGCCAGTCCTATGTTTTTTCTCAACAAGTGGACCCTCCGAGGAAGGGTAAAACCTTTGTTGGTTTTTCTTTTTACAGCCTCCAGTACTTCTTTTTATTACAGCCTCCAACCCTGAGAAAAACCTGCCCTGAAAGAAAAATAGTATGTGGGTTCCCTGTCCATTGGTGCTGCCATGCCCTGACTTTTGCTGCTGTGGGACGGGAGTGGCAAGAGTAGGCGGCAGATCAGAATCGCTACGGCAGCTCCCAGCGTTGCTGCAGGCATGGAGTCACCCCAGCCTCTTATCTAGCTGCAGTTCGAAAATGGCATGCAATGTTTGTATTTATATCCTGTGCTCTGTGCTGTAGTCAACACTAAATGAAACCAGCTATCACCGGTACACCTTTTCCTGCTACTTGCCTTCCACTGTGTACTGAAATGTTTTGTAGAACTCAATTCTCTGTCTTTCCATTAACCTGAATCTGTACGGGACCTTAGAGGAAATAGTCTGCTACCATGTAGAGGAGGAAGGGAAGTGCTTATTATAAAATTAATGCTTCTAAGATATTGTTAAAGAAAATAAGATTCCACAAATTCTTAATATTTGTCAGAAATAAATCATCCTATAAGCAGAGCGACTCCTTTTTTTCTCCAGACAATATTTTATAATTAACAATGTTTCTTAGCTAGCCAGTTAGACTTTCATTAGTTTTGTGGGGAAAAAAAAAATTATACCAACATAACCCAATTCAGTTGCTGTTGGATTTCTCTGAAAATGTAAGTCAAAATTTAAAAAAACTATCTATAGCATTTCTCTCCATGGGATACCATTGGAGTCAGGAGCAACAGAGATATTAAAGCCTAATCTAAATGAGTGACAAGGTGTGGCAAAATACTGCTCATGAGGAAACCCGGAACAAAAAGTGTGCTCCCACTGTGTTTCCTGTAGCAGACCTCAGTGGTGACCAGCTTCACAGTGAATGGAGACACCAGACAACCAGCTATAACATCTAAGTATCAAACAGAAATACCTTTGACCTGACTCTTGATTCTTGCCAATGAATTTCACCCACCCCAGGAAAAGCAGGAAGAGTAGCTAGAAATCCCAGAACATGTCTGCCAGACAGGAACTCATAGAAGGTGCAGCAGGCGAAGAGACCTCTCCAGACATGGGTGACCTGCTTTCAGTTGCTTTTCTGCAAAAGGAGTCCAGATTAACTGTCAAGCCACAAGCTATGCTGAGGTAGAGTATTTTGTCTGCTGTTGAACTCACTGTACCTTGTGTGAAATTATTCTGTTTTCGTCAAGCTGCAGAGAAGTGTAATTTTTTAGTCCCACAGCAAATATTCATCTAATTTCTCATTGCTTAGTGGCAGGAAGTGCTCTTACAGTGAATTGCTGATTAGTAAGAGGGTGGCAATGGGCCTGTATTCCAGACAAAGTTTGAACTGCAGCCTTGTATCTCTCCTCAGCATCTTCTCTCGCACACAACTGCCCAGTGTCAGCATGCTGACACCTAAGGATCTGTGAATACAAGCCCTGCTCTGCTGATGCTGAGGCTCTTGACTCGAGTGGACACAAAGTTCAACCAAATACGAACCAGTGGACTCCTGAGATGAGATTCAGCTCACCCTAATTTTAAGTGTCTGCAATAAGACTTTGGTGAATAACAGCAGCTACAGCTGATAGAGTGCAGCCAACAATTAGCAGGGCTTGAGAGCTAGTCAGCTCATCAGGTGCAGATGCCGTCTTAGGCTGAATTAAATAGCTCTCAGCTCTACTGACTACACCAGATCTTCAGTGACTCTAGTGAGAGCTTAGTCACAGAGTTTATGTGTAGACACCCACACTACTAATAACTGATTTTATGAAATAATTATTAAGATGGTTTTATTAATTGTTCTTTTCCACTGTGTATATGTGCAAGTGTGCACATGTGCATATGCATGCACACACACACATATGTATTGTATACATGTTGTAAATAAAACTGCCCTGAGTCTCTCACTTCAGCTTTTACTATCCTATCTTAAACTGTAAAATACTGCTCATTCGCTTATGGTGTATGCGTATTGGAAGGCTATTTATATTTACATAATGCATTGAAGCACCATTACCCTATTGATGACTACCAAATTGTTGCTCAGCTTACATGTCATTACAGCCTCTTTTCCATATGGATGGATAACACTTGACCACGTGCAATAGGCTTAATCTTCAAGAAGAAATGCAGTAAATATCTTGTTACCAGAACTACCCTAAATCCAAACACAGGATAGCAGGTGAAGCGAGTTGCTGCAAACATTATGCCTGCCTCTGAGATTGTATAAAGCATTCATAAGGTTTCACATTATACTCTGTTTTTAACTAGCTCACCTTGGGAAATATATTTAGTATCAAGCTTTCCAGTGCAGGCCTAATTTAAGGTGAAGTTCTCTAATTTCAGATATTTAGTCTAGGCTGTCAAACAATCGAAGTGTTGAAATGTCTTTTTACTGATTTAGTGGGAATAAGTTACCTAAATGTCTTCAAAATTCTCGGATAATATTCTAGGTACCAGAAATCTGCAGATAACATTGATACAAGCTGAAATTCTGTGTGGATGACGCCCAGCCAGTCCTGAAAAAGGTATCTGAGGTACTGATAGAGGAGATTGAGATGTACTAAAGGTATTTCTTGCTTAGCATGTCCTCTCTGGTTGAATCTTTCTGGGATAATGTTTGAAGAAGAATGGAATGTAAAAGTAACCATAGAATTTCATCAATCTATGCACAGACATATATTAGAAATATCATTTAAAAGTAAAATACTCCCAGAATGTAACAAGAGTCAAGAAGAGACAAAAAGATCATTTCTTCACAGGGGAACAACTGATTCATAAAAATCTTCACTAATGAAAGGCCTTCTCTTAGACACTTACCTTCCAAGAGCTGCTGCACTGTTTTGACTGCTATACCTCAGATTCTTCACTCTTCTGATGTAAGAATGCAGGTGAACAAATGTGAATGTACTAAAAACTGATCTCGTGTTTATCTTTTTTTCCTGAATATTGCATGACACACAGTCTTTTTTCTCCGAGTACTACACGGCACAGAGCAACAAAAATCCTCCACCAAATTATTAAGCAAAAAACCAACCACAGCAAATTTCTTCTAGAAATTTTGTTTTATGAAGTTAATGATTGTGGCAAGCTGTTCAGTAAATGTATATTACTAAATCTGGGCTCAAATCCTAGCACCTCCAAAAATCTTTGTGATGAGGAAGACCTTCAGGCTCTCAGAGCTAATGGAAGAAATATCGTCCACCCACTTCTTCACATTCAGACTTATGAAAACAAGTGAAATTAGGTTTTCTATACTATACCTGTACAGATGAAACTTGATAGTCCTCCATAGATGACATCATCATTGTCTGGTAATATAAAGGGACACCTCGTCTGAACCTCCAAACAGTATTGCTTGCAAGGAATTCTGTTGCTGCAGTGAAACTGTGTGACTTCAAAATACTGGGAACAGAGCCAGGCTTTGTAGACAGTCTGGAAAAAGAGAAGAACCAGAAGTATAGATGGATGACAATAGTACTGTCATAATTAGAAGAACATACTGTATTACAGACCTACATTAATGCTGCTTCTGAAAGCAAATTTTGAGAGAATATCACCTGTGTAAAACATACACTTATCATTTGACTATTCTCCCAATTCAGAAACGAAAACTTTAGCCAAGTTACTTAAAAGCAACAGTTAGTCAGGACTAGGCTTATGCTAGTATTTTATCTTAGTTTGTAAACAAATATTACATGAGCCTTTTTATTGGACACACGCACACATGCCACACACCCCTGTCCCTGTACTTTATCATATACAGAGATCCTAACCTCATTTGGAGCTGGTTTGAGAAAAATTTATGGAAGTAAGTGCAAGAAAGAGTTGCTGGCTCAGGCCAGCTCTGTTCTCTATATCAACTGAAGCTAAGCTATCAGATTGCAATAGATGGTGCTGCTTCCCTTCAAATAAAACCTTATCCACTCCACAGCATTAAAACACTCTTTAGGGTTCCTGAACACCAACAGCTGTAGGCTAGGGGATAAATCTGAAACAGTGAGGACCAGTGTCTACATATGGGAGCTAAAAGGAACCCACTGAAGATGCTGTCATCTGATGGTGTGTAGCCATGGCTGCAGGACCTGAGATTATTACAATTATTGTCATCACTTAAAGAGAAAAAACAAAATAAACATGCTGATTTTAGTTTCTTTTCCCTGTTCCCTTCTAAGCAATGGTCTTTGTCATAAGAACTGAACAAACCTTTTGGGCACAGAAAAATTTCACATGTGATTATACAAAAAACGATTGGACATCACACCACAAAGGTGATAAAAAACTTGTATGACTGAGTACAGAGAGGTTTGCTTGTTTCTCATTTTATTTTCCATTTATCTGTTTTGAAGTACATTATTTACTGGTTAGATACTTATCTACGTAGTTTTCTAACAATTTCCTTTTGTAGTCATTCAAAATATCTGAAAATCTTAGTAACTACATTTCCTTTGTCACAGGCTGAAAAGCAATATAGCCAGCTGATGATTTTCCTTCTGCCTAGACCTGTTTTTAATAAAAGAGGAAATTTAGATTAAATTTTTAAGCACTGAAAATTCAAAATCTGACACCTGAAAAAAGCAATCCATGAGAGAGTTGGGTTTGATTTCAGTATGTTTCATCTCTTCAGTTCTAATTCTTATTAGTGTTGGCAGTAGGTTAAATTATATAATTAATTTCAATGTATTAGTCCTAGAATCACAAAACTTTTATCTTGGCTTGTTTGCAACAGTGGCAGGGGTGGGGGAGGGGGGTAGGGGGGAAAGTGAAGCCTTTATCACTAAGCTATGGTTTGTGATTGTGTCTTGATAGCAGCTTTTGCCTACTGCATTTTGTAGAACATGTTTTTTTCATTACAAATTCAATTTTAAATGCTTACTAAGGTTTCTTAGCCACAGTAAATGATTAATGAGAAGAAAGATTAGGTTATGTGTTTACTTTTTGCTCTTAAATAAACTTCTAAACAGCAAGCAGTTTTCCCAGTGTCGGCTATATCCCCCACCACATTTTTAAGGCTTCACATGCTGTATTGACACCTACAACAAGAAAAGAAATAAAGTAATTTTTTTTCTATTTTCATTTGTCAGTGAGCATAGTCTATTGGTTGGAGACAGGAACACTGGCTCTGATAACAGATAAATATTCACAGATGTTCCTTCCTGAGCACTAACACTGTAGGTCTGTTCAGTATGCATCCATATTTTCTCTTGACAGAATATATCTAATACTAGTAAGTTGGTTTATGAGTTATATTTGAAAATTTACATCAGTTTATAGGGACTGTAGTGAACAGCACACCATACATAGGAACAAGAAAACAAACAAACTTACTTGTCTACTTCAGCAAGAGAGGAAATAAATGTTTACTCAAGAGCAGAAGTGAATAATGCAGTCATTGGCTTCTGCGAACTTTGTTATGCATCCAGTCTCATTTTGTACACATCATCTTCCTGCCCTGATTCACAAATCCTCAGCTTTGACTCAAAATTATGTTTGAACTCTTGTCCGTACTTTTAAAGAATGCATTAATGTACCTGTACCTGAGATCTACTTCTCAGATAATTGTCTCCCACTCTGCATCCTTTTTATTGCAGCCTCTTTCAATCTTGTCTGCAACCTATGTCGAGATTTTTAATATGTTGGTCCTCGTTTTGCTCCTTTTTGGCCAGTAAGGATACATGGAAACTAAGAGTTCTGTCTGGATATGAACTTAGGTCATACCTCTCTTTGGGGTGAGATGCTGATATTTATGAGTCTTCCTACCTCTCTGCTCTGGTTTCTTCAAAAGAAACTGCAGACAAGATATCTCTGCAGAACACTGTAAGATCTCCAAGAATTGCTAAGTGAAACCCTCAGGGCATACTGAAAACTAGCCTAGATGATAGGAGATATCGGTCTTCAGCCCTTCCCAGAAAAGTCCTCCATTTTTCCAGGTCTTTTTCAGGGCTGACAACTGTCATGAAAGAGTCTGAGTACTTGGAGGAGCCAACATCATGGAAAAGCACCAACTTAACACTTGGGTACTTACAGTACAGCTGAGGTGGAATTTAATGTCACATTTGGATAAGGAAAAAAAAGGGGTCATAGACAGATTTGAGCACTAGAGAAGGCTCCCCCCATAGTGCCTAGCTGTTAGCCCAGAGATTCCACAGTTTTAGCCTGTGCTAACTCACACATTTCCAGACAGTGCCCAGCCACCATCTGGGAAATGTCTTATTTCAAGCACTGCATCTAGAAAGCAGTTTTGACGTGGCCAGGCAGTTTTCTGGAAAAAAAAAGGAAAAAAAATGCAAACGTCTGCAGAAGAACTGCCCTGGGCTAGATGGTAGACCAGAGAGTAATTCCTCTCAACTCTTAATAGTATGGATGTGATTTAAGTGCCTACTTTCCCAACAGATACCCCAAATAACCTCTCCTATCCTTCTTGTACATCTTAGACTTTCTAGGCACCAAAGGCTTTACACAGAAATCTTCCTTTCTTGCCTAAGATGTGTTACCCAAGAGGGAATACAGAAGTGTAAGAACTGATCTCATATTTTTGCATACCACTCACTGCTCGGCAGCCTTTGCATGAGTCCCACGGCTGACCCAACTACGTAGATCCAGAGCAGTCCAAAGTCACATCTTTGTTTCAATGGTTGTGAAAGGTGACTTCTTTGACTTAAATATTAGAAGCCCATGACGTGGAACCGAATTGCATTGAAATTTATTGAAATTTTCCTAATATCAAAGGAGTTATGCTGGCAAGGCAATTATGGCCTGTGATCAGCCAGTATTCCTTCTTATACTCTAGAAAATATAGGTTTGGGTTGGTTGGAGTTTCTGCTCTATCTCCTAGCACATCCTAAATGCTGATTTCCAGGGCCTCAAAACATGCACTATATACAACAAGGCCTGAAATTATCAATGACAATACTTATTTGCTTGTATTTTGAGTATGATGTGCACTTCACAAACTATGCTTTGATAACAGGATATTTTTCCTTTTTTAAAGGACATCAATGGCCAAATCCGAAAATTTATAATCACAATAAATGCTCCTCTTAAAAAATATTGTGTGTAGAATATTCTAAATTATTAGCTACTTTTTATTAGTATTTTCCTAAGCAATTTCTAGTGTGTCATCTAAAAATGAACACTACTCATCTAAATGGAGAAAATAAGCTATGTTACATATGTTAAGTTTTTCCTGTCTTGAAAATGGTGCAATTATTTTTAATCTTATTGAAATACAGAATATATTGTATATGACCATCTTGAGGGAAGTTTTCTTCTCCTTTCTTTCTGCTCTTCCTGTAACCAAACATTGCTTCTGACTGGCTTTCCCCTCCTAGCCCCCCCTTATTTCACTTCTGTTCTGAATTGTATAATATCAGCTGCTAAAGTTAATTGATCCCTAGGTATCTGTGAAAAATAAAGACAAGACTCCCATGCTTTCTTTAAAAAAAATGAGAAAAGCATATTTTTTATTAAAATATAAAATATTCCTTCCATTCTTTTCCGTGTCAATACTTCATTCTTGAAACCTACCAACCCAGCAAACAGTACATCCTCCTCTCCAGCATTAGCAGAATATTCTCTTTCTTTCTCACATAAACTATGGCATAATGCGACAGATAAATAACTCTTACTTCTGGAATATATGTCTACAAAGTAGCTTAACTGCATGTATGGGAAGGCTTTACAGTGGCTTCAGCAAAATACGAGTCACTGAGAAAAGGTATAAAAGATCTTATTTGAGGACATTGGTACAATACTATCTTTGTCCTCCTGTGCTGGCATAATTTTTGCCAAAATCCAGCCTTCCTTCTTAGGGAGATGTTATTGCTCCAAATCAAAATAAGTAAAAAAAGAGAAAAAAAACCCACCACCCCAAAATCTAGAATGATAGCACCTCTTGTATCCAACCTGTTAGCTACTACCTATCAGGCAAAAATGGTCACATATAAGCATCAACAGTTTTGTGTGTGGTGTCATATGGGAAAAGGCCAGTCTGCCTTATATAGTCTAGGAAAACATTCACAGCTGAGTAAAATGCCTCTCTACTAGGCTTCCAAGACCCATCCCTTTTTTCTAAAGTCTAAAGCTTAAAAACACTGTGTTGCAAAAGATAGCTGATATGAGTTGTTCTGAACAGGAAAAACTAATAAAATGTTGGAGCCAATGGAAAATTCATAAATGCACATTTTTACACAGTGTTTTCCCTTATCTCTCATGTTTTCTGTTTCCTTTTTCAGTATGGCATGCATTCACTCTGATTATAAGTGATATTATGACACTATATTCAGGCTACTTCTTTAATTCTGCCCTCTGCACTTACGTTGGGTTTTGTGTGATGATAGAGAAGAGATGGAAGGTGGATGTGAGGAGACCATGTATTTAAAAAACAGACAGGGAAAATCCTCCAGATTTTCCATTAAGTAAGGTGTTCTAGAGAA